CAATCCACCAACCTTCCTAGTCCAATTAACCCAAATTCGAAATACAGCAGGCCTAAAACTAATTCCCAAACGCCAAACCTTATGCCCCAACCCCAACTTCTATTTTATTGACCAAAACAAAAAGTCCAACTTCTATTTCCCTTTCCTCCTTCCCCGTCCCCACTTTCTTTCTTTTCTTTTTCTCCCATTTGTTTTTCCTCCATTCTCTCCCCCATCGAGTAATTTTTGGGTGTTCTGGGTACACCACGTGGTTGGTGTACCATCCAATAGACGTAGGACATGTGGAATATTTCCAATGCAGTCAACGACATGTCATAAAAATCAATGTACTAAGTTGGAGAATAATTCTACATGTCCTATGTGTATTGGATGGTATACCAGTCACGCGGTGTACGCAGAACATATAAAAATTTCTCCACTCCGTCCCTTTTTCTTGTCTCTCCCTCTCTTCTTTCTTTTTCCTTTTTTTTCTCCATCATTTCCATCCATTCTTCCTTTTTCTTTCTCCCTCATTCCCTCATTTTTTTTTCTTTATTTCATTACTTCTCTATTTCTCCCCTCTTATTCCTCATCCTTCTGTCTTTTCTTTCTCTTTATTTTTTCCTCTTTTATTTCAATGTCTTTCGCAATCTTGCATTGAGACTTTCACACCACCACCACCGTCGCACTGCCGCCATCATTGCACATCTAAGCATGCATGTAGATCTAGGGTTAGATCTATAAGATCTAATGTCATATCTTGTAGATCTAACTCATATGTCTTTTTTTTTTTTCGTTGTAGACTTGATTAAAGTTTGGTCAAAATTTAGGTTCTTCATTGTATCTTTTTTGTTGTTGTAAATTTGAATTAGGTTTTTTTCTTTTTAGGGTTTCTAATGTTCATGGGAGAGAATGCTTTGTTGACTAACAACAAAGAGAGAGTTGGGCTTAGTAGCCGGTCCAAACTGGGAAAACCAAAACCAAATCGAATCAAAACTAGTCCAAGTTGGTTAGGTTTAGTTATTAATTTTTCATGAGAACCAGACCGAATTGAACTGGATGAAAAATACCATTTCGATTTCAGATTTGGGTGAAAACAGGGCCGAACTAGATCGTGCCCAAGCCTAATCAAAACACATCCAAGTTCTTTTATAACAGCAGCATAATTCGAATTATAAGGCAAATAGTTAAATCATGTGAGATAGATGTCCATTGAACTTCAAGCATTGAGGAGGGTGAAGCCTTTATCCACATAATAAGTGCCCGTTTGATTTTATGAAGATATGAAAATTCATTCTCTCTTTCTCCAATGAACTAAGGAGCACCACTGCAGAAACTATCTCTTCCGACCTAGACCCATCGTCATCAACAACCAATGTTGACCTTGAGTTCAGGCTGGTCTATCCATTCTAGTCTGCTACACCGACACCGCTAACTGATGCTGGAGAATCACCAAATAGTGAAACCAGGAAGAGAGAAGAGAGAGAAATGAATGTTTTTTTTATACAGAGAGTAGGGGCAGATATAGTACATCAAGGTGGGATCTGGGAAGGAAGAAGAAATGAGAAAGGAGTGGAGACAAAGAAAAAAGAAGAAGAAAAAGAAACAGGGCCTTGGGGAAGGAAGACACTACAAGGAAAAACACTTTTGGGGACTGTGGGAGCAAAATTTACTTCATAAGCAATAATCCATAACCCATACATCCTAAACTTGGGGGAGTGGAGAAAATCAAGTAACATGACATTCATTATCTTGAGTCATGGAGAAAAATGAGGAATGTGGGAGTTGGAACCCAAGACTCCACTGCCTATAAAAGGCTAATTATCACAACGTCCCAGAGAAAGAGGAGAAAGAGGGTACAATACTATTCTAAACTCTCCTGCGATTATACTCCTATTGACTTAAGCCTCCAACTTCACTGGTAGCAATAAAAGATAGTGTCTGGCTTCTCAACATGGAAATTATATTACTTGTTGGAGGATTCGAAATTTTCGGCTCCAATAGTTGGCCCCATCTATGGGAACTGTACAAAAAGTCATATTGAGAATCAATGGACACTATATAATCAAATGCTCACTTATGCTCCAATGGGCACACCAATCTATCGAATTTCCCTTTGGAGTGGCAAAATATTTCCATTCCCTCTCATTTTTCATTTTTGAACCCCCAACATTGACAAAATGGCGACCAAGTTCGCGTTTGGTCGCGAAGTTCTCTCCTAGCCACCAAAACAGTTCGTCGCCCTTTAATAATATTTGGTCACTACTCAATTGAGTGAAGTCTTACCACAAGCCTACCTATGGACGAAACATTTGGCGACCAACTATCTTAGTTTTGTCGCGCATACATATTTTTGGAGACCAAATTATAGTTGGTCGCAGAAAAGGTTTTTTCTTGTAGTGAGAAGAAAAGAGAGGAGAGGAGGAAGAAAGAAAAATAAAAAATAAAAAGTGGCATGGGAAGGAAGAAGAAAGAGAAAGGAAAGAAGAGGAAGAAAGAAAGAAAATGGAGAAAAAGGAGAAAAACGAAAAAAGAATGTAGATAAGATCAAATTAGTAGAATTTGTGAGCTCCATTATTTCTAATTATAAGTAGGAAGACGTATTGGTTGACTATGTAATAACTATTGAATCTTCAAGTTTTATGAAAGAAATAATTTTACAGTGTATATATTCGTTAATAAAGCATTATAATTGGTTTTCTAGTTAAAATTGTTGTATAGAATCATAGGAAACAAAAAACTAAAATGTAACAGCTTGGGAGCTTATTAGACGACAGATTTAAAGATAATAAACGATGGTTTTATTGAAAAAACTGTCGTCAGTACATATAATCACTAATCGTTTTTAACACAATACTGTTGTCTTTATATACAATCAACGACGCTTTTTAACATAATACTGATGTCTTTCCCATAAATGATGACTATTTTAACAAAATATTGTCATCTTTTAAACGAAAACCATCATCTTTACCCATAAATAACGACAGTTCTTATAAATTGTTGGCTTTACCCATACATAACGACGGTTTTTAACAAAACATTGTTGTCTTTCATCAGAACAACAGCGGTTTTACTAAAAACCGTCATCTTTACAAATAAACAACGACGATGAAAAGTCATTGTAGTTTGATACTCCAAAAGATGGTGGTCGATTTAACGATGGTTTTCAAAACATTACAACGATGGTGGATCACTGTCGTCTTTTTTGTTTTTTGCAGTAGTGTTTACTGATATTAATGATGTTTTTATTATAAACCAACGTCTCTGGATATAATAAACAACTATTCTATTAGACAAACTGTCATCTTTACATCTAATAGACGACGGTTCTTTCAGAAAAACCGTTGCCTTTACAATTAATAGACGATGTTTTGGAGTAAAAGCGTCATCTTTACAAATAATAGACGACGATTGTAGTTTTACATTCAAAAGATGGCGGTCAATATAATGACGGGTTTCAAAAGAAAAAGACGACGGTTTTTCCCAATTGTCTATTTCAATTTTTGTAGTTGTGTAATGTCACCTGAACTTATACATCAATTTCAATTTGTCACCTTAAAGAAAAATTTAAGAGAAATGTCACTTTAATTTTTCAAAATCAATCATTCTTCATCTGACTTTAACACCATCCAATTTTTCATCCATTTTAAGGTTATGTTAGTCTTTCAATTTTCAAGGGTATTTTAAAAATGGAAAAATCATTATATAAAAAACTGTATATCTTTTAAACAATTAAAATTGAAAAAAAAAAATCATTTCTCACCTTCCCCCATCCCCTGTGCGCCGCCAGTGGCTCCAACCGACTCCGCTCACCTTGAAATCCATTCATCTTCCCTCTTCTCCTTCCTACTTCTCTCTCTACCATGCTCAATGAACACCATAAAAAAATTTATACATGCTCAAGGATAGAGAGAGAGAGAGAGAGAGAGAGAGAGAGAGAGAGAGAGAGAGAGAGAGAGAAGAGGGGGATGGAGGGTCCTATGCAATGTGTTTTGGGGGTGGGTGGGGTTGGGGTGGTGGAGAAAGGGAGAGAGAGGTATCTTTTTTTTCTTAGAAAATGGAAAGACTAAAATACCCTTAAAAATGGATGGAAAATTGGATGGTGTTAAAGTCAGAAGACAAATCATGGATTTTGAAAAATTAAAATGACATGTCTCTTAAAATTTTCTTTCAGGTGACAAATTAAAACTGGGCTATAAGTTTAGGTGACATTTCTACAAAAAAAATCTCTTTCTTTAATATTGGCCACATATTGGCTTGGATATTCAATTAATATTAAGGCCTAAGCCATGATTTGGCCTCACCTAAGGGCCATATATAAGGCTTTGAGTCATTCTATAGTGAGAGTCTTATATATGGCCTTTAGGTGATGTCCTGTCTCTTAACCGTTGGACCAGGCTAACAAATTTGATCAAACGGCTAAGCAATTTGATCCAAAGGCTAAGAGATAGGGTCTCACCTAAGGGCCATATATAAGGCCCTTGAACGTTAGTTATGTAAGATCGGGCCTAAATAGGGCCTTAGACTACCGTGCCTTGGAGATTCTTGGGCCTCCGACTGGATTGCAACTAGGTGCAATCAATTTATTTGGCAAATCTCTTTCAAACTTATGATTTTGATGTTTGGTTAGGATAACTTGTTTCAGTGTTTGCAGTCACTACAAGTCTTGTTCTGAGAGAAGCCTAATTCGTTGAGCTTTTCTTTTTCTTTGAATTCAATGTCTAGAGTTCTATATTGAATAAAAAAAAGTTGTTTAGAAGAACTAGAAGTTTTGCTAGGTCTTCCATTTTGACTGAGGATGTCTGTGGGCTAGGTCGGCCCAAAGGTAATTGCCTTAATCTTGCTTTGTTCTTTTGGTCTTCCGTCCCAAACTCCAAAAAAAAAAAAAAACAAACCGAAAGGTGTTTCATTAGTACTCTAATTCCCTGCCACGTAGCAACCGTAAAATAGATCCGCAATAGCGGCCATGGGCATAAATTAGCGAAACTCCTTTTATTATAAAAGCCCTAATAATATACTAAAACCCTAAAAAATCTAAACCCTACTTTAAAATCAAACGCTTTTTCTCCGCTAGATTTTTAATTCCATCTCTACTCTTCTCTCTCTCTCTCTCTCTCTCTCTCTCTCTCTCTCTGTGAAACAAAGTAGGTCTCAACTCTCTCAGTACATTTTCCCGGAATCCAAACACCCCATTACGCGAAATCAGTTCTCTCCTTCTTGATCCCCCGCAAATGGATTCGCGGGAAGTTCCGCAGCAGCAGCAGCAGCCGCCGCCTCCTCAGCAGCAGAACATGATGGTGGGTCCGCCTTCCTACCAAACGTCCATGCCCAACAGCAACCTAAACCCCAATTCGGGTCCCATGATGGGCGGGCCTAACCCGGCCCGGTTCCCGTTCAATGCCGTGCCTCAGCAGCAGCAGCAGCAGCAGCCCACATCGAAGCCGCAGATGGATTCTCTGAGCCCCAGTCCGTACGACGGGTCGCTGAGGCCCTGCGGCAGCGGCGGAGGGTTCAGCATCGACTCTTCTTCGGCTTCGGCGGCGAAGAAGAAGCGCGGGCGGCCCAGGAAGTACTCACCCGACGGCAACATTGCGTTGGGATTGGCTCCCACGCAGATGCCCTCGACGGCTTCGACAGCCGCGGCGGGGCCCCACGGGGAGTCGAGTGGCACAATGTCTTCGGACCCCCCGGCCAAGAAGAACCGAGGGAGGCCCCCGGGTTCGGGCAAGAAGCAATTGGACGCTTTGGGTAATTGATATTCTCAGTGCCATAACAAAATTTGGTGTGAATTTGTAGTTTATTGATGTACATTCTGGTGATTGGTGTTTGCTTGTGTGCTGTGCAGGAGCTGGTGGGGTTGGGTTCACGCCTCATGTTATTATGGTGCAAGCCGGCGAGGTATGTGATTTTCTTGATGTTAAGAGTAAATTGTAGTTAATGAAGTGAGTCTAATTGCAGTTCTTGCAAGGAACTTCTCATTGTTATTAGGAGATTCCTTAATAAAGAATGTTATTTAGTGCAATAAAGGATGGCCTTTAATTTTATTTAAAGTTGTGTGAACCAGAACCGCAATTCTGATGTTATGACTTTGAGGGTGTGAAAATAATGCGTCTGTAGTTTAACAATGGTGTAAATACTTGTATTGGTGTCCTGATTCCAAGATGAAGATATATGAAATATATTAATTAATTTCTTTTAAGAATGTATGTGTATTTCCCTTATTTTGGTATGACGTTCGGCAATCATGTCAATTCTCCAGTTTTTGTCATCATCATAAAATAAAAATTTATTCATAAAAAGCATATAGCAGCCAAAATAAAGGGTGCCTTAATATTTAAAATGCACTTTGCTGTTTTTTTCCATCTTTGTGTGATGTCTGATATACCAGATCTTTCAACTTTTTGTTATAAGGAATGAAACTTATTTGACTGGTTTGTTGTAAATGGTTGTGTCACATTATCCTGTTTGTTGTTTACCAAATGAAGATACCACTTATCTAGTTAGTAGATTTTTCGTTACATTTGTGTATTATAAGGAATATTTTATTTTCTTGAATTTCTTCTGGTTGTTATCATTGGGGGTCTTAAATGTTGATATTTTTGGTATTTTGCCGGAAATACATTGTGTTTGCTTTCATTGGATAATTATTCCTCAAAATACACCTCTCCATTGATCTGCGTCATTGGACTATGTGAGGATTACTTGTAGATGTTAGATATCGATCAATTGCGAATTTAGAATAATATATATATAGCAGAATACTAAGAGAAGAAATTTTTTGCATCCTTTTGTCAATAACTTTTTATTTATTTGTTTCTGTGTGACGGGTGGGGCTTTATCCACTAGAACAGTGGCGTAGTTGACCATGGTGATTAATTGAAATTGAAAAATAGCATTTCTTTATTATGCATTGTTTTATGTTATATAAGTGTCCAGGACTATGTTCTCATTTTCAGTTCTTGTGCATATTTTATCCCAATTTCAATTTAATGCATAGATAATAATGATATTTGATATTTTTGTCCAATTATGGTCTGCCTTCTTATTTGTGTGCCTTGTGGTTTGCAGGATATTGCAGCAAAGGTTATGTCCTTCTCACAACAAGGACCCCGTACGGTTTGTATTCTCTCGGCAAATGGGGCCATCTGCAATGTTACCCTTCGCCAGCCAGCAATGTCTGGTGGTACTGTCACATATGAGGTACTTTGATATTTTTATAACAAATATTTTGGTATGGACATTGGAACATGGATGTGGTTCTATATGTACTTACTGCGATATTACAGAACCAGAAATGAGTTTGATGAGGACTCAGGATAACAGATGCAAAAACCTACAAACTTGTGTATAATTATGATATTACCTTCCTCTTCTAGATTTTACAAATACAAATTTTTTTGTACCATATAGAAAAGCTGTTGTTTGTCCATATAAAAATGGGTCATGCTGTAAGAAAATGTCATTCATTTTGAATTTATTACTGTGGAGTAATGAAAACCCAAATTTACAACCTTTTCCCCTCTACATTGAGTACTTTGTAGTCAAATTTACGACCTTCCCTCTAGATTTAATACTTTGCATTCATAGTTATAAGAAATTTTCTGTGGGTTCCCTTAATGTATAATGAGTTAAATATTCTCTTTTTCTAGTAAGTAAATTTTATTCAAGGTGATATTATTGCACATGGAAACAATGTTCCAGATGTTTGCACTACCTTAAGTACTGGTTTTGAAAGGTTAGATATAAATTGTCCATTAATAGGGATCCCACAGTTACCACTGCCAGCTTTCTTTCTTAAGCTTTTATATGTGACATTTTCTGGTAATTATGGTGGATATGCATGTTTCACAAGACAAAAAATGGAACAATTTACTCAAACCCAAATCTGGCAAATTGTCCCTGAAACTGACTGACATGGTTGGTTCATATTGAGTTCTAGCTCGGTGATTCCAGCTACATTGTGGCATTATTTTGCGATAAGCATAAGTCTTTTTGTATCGTACAATTTCTTTTTGTTAATCAAGTCTTGTTTCCTATCAAAATAATACTAAGTGCTACGTGGGTTTTAAGTAATCAGTTCTAAATGTCTGGCCCAGAAGCAATTAAATTCCTTAATTATAAAAGTATATTCGGAGCAGAAATTTATATCAGAAGCATGGTGCACAAAGTTTTCTCACCCTGAAAATACTTCATATTTCTCTGTTGTTTCCTCTAAGCATGCTATGTTTTTATCATTTGAAGGTTGTAGTGCTATCCCACACCTACATTAGCTTGCACTGGATATCCTCATTTTACAGAAATTGAGGATTACAGATATAACATTTTCAATTTCGGTCAACATCTATATATAATCTGATTTGTGTTTTGTGAAAATATTATTTAGTTTTGTTTCTGCAAATGATTTTCTTGGGGAACATTAGTATGGCTGCTGTTTATTGTCTCGATACTGTGATGCTCTCTCTCTCTCTCTCTCTCTCGTATATTTGGGGGTGGGTTGAGGCTGGGGTGCTTTTTGTTTACTTTAGTCTTACCATTTAGATTATATTACTCCACAATGGAATTTCCATGCCGTTTAGCATAATTTATTATGCTATTTGGATTCTCAAATAACATTTTATTCAGCATTATGTAGCATTAAAGACCTGACAGTCTGTGCTACAGCACTTAAGTTTGATCTGTTTTTTACATAGGAGATGAGATTCCACTCGAAGAGCATCCATAATAAATAAGTTTCAATTTTGCGTGCAGTCAGTAAATTTAACTTTTTACATGAACTCAATTGAATTAGGAAACTTGAGGCCGTGAAATCATGAGGTAAGGAAACATTGTAGAGTTTTCTGTTGATGACTAACAAGGCTGATGAAACAAATGCATATGGAATAACCATCCAAACAATTGAAAAAGTAGAAACAAAAGAATAGATGTGGTATATGGCAAAGCAATCTCACAATTTGGAGGTTAAGCATATGCAACCGAATCTCAGCACCTTCAAACCTTCTTCTATACATCCAAAATACGTTCTTTTAATAGAATGAGTACTTCTATTTTGTAAAATTGGAGCTACTGTGAATTTAAATGGTCTTCGTTATTGAGCGATGACATTCTTATTGAAGTTTGCTTATGACATTCTTATTGAAGTTTGCTTAAGCAATTCTCTCTCTCTCTCTCTCTCTCTCTCTCTTATACACACTCACATGCACATCAGTCCCTCTCTCCTTTCTCACTTGCACAATCACTCACTCACTTTCATGCCCACTCCACTTACACATTGACCGAGGCATTGGTAATGTGTTCTACTCTTTCAAGTGTTGATCTTTGTCCAACAAATGCACAAATTTGTTTGAGCACTCAATTATTCATTTCTGGTGTTATTTGAAAAACTTATATGAACCTGGATGATCTTTTTTGTGTTTAGTTCTTTATTTCTATTGTCGATATCTTTTGTGCTTATATTATCTATGTGTTTTTCTTTGCAGGGTCGATTTGAGATTATATCGCTTTCAGGTTCCTACTTGTTTTCTGAAAATAATGGGAACCGCAGCAGAAGTGGTGGTTTGAGTGTATCCTTGGCAGGGTCTGATGGCCAAGTTTTGGGTGGTGGAGTTGCGGGCATGCTGGTGGCAGCATCACCGGTACAGGTATCACTCTGCTACTATTTGCTCAGATCAGTTTTGAAATTATGACTATGTTCATCTTCTGCAGTTGTAAAAGGATATCCAGGGCAATAAACATATCCTGTTGTCTGTTTGACAGCCAAAAATTCATTAAATGCATATATAGCCTTTGCATTTTAACTCAATTTTATGCACTGCCAGGTCATTGTGGGTAGTTTTATTGCTGATGGGAAAAAATCCAACTCCAACTTCCTAAAATCTGGGCCTTCTTCTCCACCACCATCTCAAATGTTGAATTTCGGTGCACCGATGACAGCGGCCAGCCCCTCCTCTCAAGGAGCCTCAAGTGAGTCATCCGATGAGAATGGTAGTAGCCCTCTCAACAGGGGACCTGTGCTCTACAATAATGCTAGTCAACCCATTCATAATATGCAGATGTACCAAATATGGGGTCAAGCTCAACAGTGAAGAGGAAAATGCTTCCAGGTTACCAGTACAGCGCATTCGGGTATTGACTGCATTATTCTACCTAGTGGATAGGGAGGAGGGGGGGTGGGTGGTGGGTGGGGGGACAACTCACAGGGGATTATTTTAGTTCTAGGTTGAGTTTTTGTTTTCTTTTTTGCTTTCAAAGTAGTTCACACTTTCCCTTTCTCTCTCTAAATATGATTAAAACATGGGCTATTGTTGATAGCTGAGAATATGCCGCCTGTCCCTTAGGTTCTCATGAGTTAAATTGCATTTAAAATATTTTCTCGTTCTTTCTATTTTTCATTTTTCTTTGTTTCCCAGCTAGGAGTATCTGACTTAATATGTAAACTTGTTTTACGAATATAAAATTTCATGGCAGTCTTGAATAGGCTTGAGTGGAATCTTATTACAGGTTCGCTCTCTCACAGTTTCAGAGTTGGCACATTGTATTTTCTTGTGTTTCATATCCTGGAATCTCTGCCTCCAGTATTTTCATCCAGTTCAGGACCGGATGTAAATTGTTACCTGAAATGTTTTTAATTTACATCAGGATTTGATCTGTTAGAGCTTGTGTAGTGGTGAGGCAAGTGGGTGGGGAGGCGTGATGCCGTTTTCACCTCCCAGAATTTTTGTCGTTCAGGGAGCGAAGGGTTTAGAGGGTTAGAATTCGAACTTTATTATTTATTCTGTAGTTATTTTTGTAGTGACGAAGAGATTTTAGGTGTGAGAAGTGATTACCAAATTGTTAGTGCAACTTTGAGTGGAGCAAAAAATGGTATTTGCACATGAAGTGTAGCAAAAAATGGTATTTGCACATAATGGTATTTGCACATGGTTTATTAGAACAATTCCTATCAGGAAGACCAATACAAGACAAGGCAAAAATCTCAGGAAGAAGATTGGAAAGTACAATACAATGGCTCATAAGTTCATGTTAGTTTACTACTTAAATAAACTGATGGTTAATTTATTGGAATGTGCTAGCCTAATTTTATCTATCCAAAAGGTTGCACATGATTCACACGTGATCCTTCTGAATGTATTTGCGACGTTTGAAATATCAGCAGACAATCTGTTTTTTTTAAAGGATTACGTGTGAAGCACATGCAACTTTTTAGATACAGAAATTGATGAAGTTAGTTATAGATAGCACATTGCTTTATTTATTTTTTATAAATTTCTGTGACATTTTGGAATAGAATTCCCTATTTAGGGCCAGTTTGGCATTGCTGTGCTGTGAAAATAATCGCTGTCAAATTTGCTGTGAGAAAAATTAGCTGTGAGAGAAAGCAGTTTGGCGTTTGGTAAACTTTTTGTTAAAAGTGTTGCCGGTACTAATTCCCACATAATCAGAAAATGATTGCCGCATAATTATTAAACCCAGCGCCTCTTCGAAATTGATTCCTGCATAATCAGAAAATGAAAGCACCACATTAGCTGCTTTCCCTTATAGCTTTCTCTCACAGCAATTTTTAACAATAAGTGATTTTCTCATAGTTTACCAAACGGACTGGGCTTCCCAAAATTTTTAAAAAATCACTTATCACCCCAAATAAGCAATGCCAAACAGGCACTTAATCTAATGGTTGAAAGGAGACTTTTATTTATTTATTTGTTTACTTACAAGCGAGATGTTATGGTGTAATTTCTCAAAAGATTCAAACTTAGTTTATATATAGTTTTATATTCTTTCATTTTACTTCTTTTTTTTTTTTTTGGGGTTTTTCATTTAAGATTATTTATGTTCTGTAACGCGTTAAATTTAGTCAATTTGATATTATGATTGTTTATTGTGAGCATATAGATACTTTGGTTTTCACGTAGGGGCCTACATACTTCAAGCCCGTCCCTATCAAAGGAGCGGAGCTACCAAACAACAAAGAAGTTGCCGTAAAACTTTTGTTTTGTTTTATTTTTTTTTATTTACCTTAAGATTAATCATCATCTCACTTTATTTCTATGGAGTGCAATGCTACATGTATAACATTTATGCACCATAAGAACTATATCACTAATAAATATGACCATAAGTTTCTAGTTTTGTTAAAGTTATGTTTGGAAGTGATTGTAGAATGACTAAAAATGTCTTCAAATAAATTAAAGCGGCCGAGACATAAAAAACTAGAAGTATTCTAAATATTCTAATTATATGATGAAAGGGAAATACGGAACACCAAACCTTAGTTAAAGGGGCAAACAATGACGTAGCCACCTAAAGACCAGGATGAGACGGGGCCCCTTCTCATAGTTTTTATTCTTTCAAATTTTTACTTAGATATGTATATATATATATTGCTTGTGGAATGAGTCGGCCAGTCAGATTATTGATCGACCCTAGATGTTCTAAAGCTCGTTCTATATATTTTGTTTAGTTATTTGCTTTTCCCTATGTGTTCATACCTGTTTAATGGAAAACTAAACATAATTGTATCCAAATTAACAGAACAAAATCATCAATTTATCTCCTATTAAGTATATTTGTTTCATGGTCTAATATATCCCTCCCGACATGAATTCTAGCATACTCTGTCCAGGTGAGAAATGGAGCTCAAAGTTCAAGTTCATTCAACCACCTCGTGCATTTTGTTCAATGGACCTACCGGCCACGGTCTCCAAGGTTCCTTTGATGACAATCAGGAACGCGCCAACAGCCAGCAGGCGGGGTGGGCCCACCGACTGCCGCGGCAGTCACACTCCCATTTCCTAATTTCCTACTACGCAGCGATGCTTCCAACGGCTCTTTTGCCAGCAAAGCGACACGCTAAAACCATATAATACAAATATAAATACAAAATAACTCTTTCTTAATCTCAAAAATAAATATAAAAATAAATAAAAGCTATCTCTCTCTCTCTCTCTCTAGCCGTTGGCTGGCCTATTCAGTCATACTCGTCTGTCGACCACTTTCCCCATAAATGCCTTTGCCTTAACTCCCAAATTAATAAGCACAAAATCCACAAGCAAATTGCAAATTTGCAAATAAATACACAAATATTGTTAGCTCATTTTTGTGTCAACTTCTTCCAATGGCTTGCTTGGTCTTGCCAATTACAATGCTGAAAAAGAGGTGCATGGGGTCACGGATAGGCGGCTACCGGCATTTAACCGAAGAGGGGTTCGGAGGGTTGGAGAATCCGGTGACCGTGGTGGTCGGGAAGGAGAAGAGGGAGTTCTTGGTAGACCCTTTTGTGCTAGAAGAGAGCCCGTTTCGGGTTTTGATCGAGATGATGAACAAGGACAAGAAGATGGTGGATTTTATTGATCATGAGAATGGCAAGGGGAGGATGGTTTTTGTGGATGTTGATGCTATTCTTTTCGAGCATATGCTTTGGTTGATGTATAATGATTGTTCTTCTTTGTTCAAGCTCAATCTTAAGGAGATCATCGACTTCTATGCTCAAGATAATTAGGCAGATTCCAGAGGAAAATACAGAGAGGTACTTCATATGAAACAGAGGTACCATGCTGCTGCTCACTGATACGAGTCTATAGAATTCTTCTTGTAAAGAAATATTTTATAATCTAATAACTCACACATGAATATACATATTGCAATGGATAATTATTCATCTCTCTATGGCTAGATGTTCTACTTTTTTGGTCATATTTCTTTCAAATTTTTGTTTTTAAATTAAAGAGAAAGAGGGGAGTCAGAGGAGATAACAGAGATCAGAAAAGAAAACTCACGTGCTTGCATTCTGCTCAAATGAGAATCAAAACCTGTTCGAATTAAATCATTCTTTACATTCAGCAAAGAACGACAAAAGTCTTCAATTCTAATTTATGTTGAAAAAGTCAAGAAAGATGTTGCTTAGGATTATGGTAAACAAGGAGAAACTCAGCAAACAGATCATAGGTTACATTTCAAACTGAAAGGAACCAATGCTTCAAATTAATAACTTCCACATTACTTTTAGCTTTCAAAAGTCTGGATTTCTTTCTTTCTAAGTTTAGATTTGACCGAAGATTATTGTAACACGTTATCATCACGATAGTCTTAATTGGCCAAAAGGTGTATAAGAATGATTGGCACATCAATCTTGCACCATGAGCTTTCTTATAATCATTTTATTTGCGCAAGGACAGAAAACTAACAGTTCTGTATATATGTGCCTTCTTTGTCCTAATTGGCTTAAGTTACTGTGAATTATTTGGTAATCCATTCTTTTGATTTGGAATAAATTCCAAGTATAAAATCAGATCGATATGCATGTTAGTTTGCGAGAAAATTCAGAATATATTAATGAACAAAACACAAAACTAATGCTGAATTATTATTACTGTTACCATTCTGCTGGTGTTTCATGAACACAAAACTTATTAAAACCTTCCATCTTCAACAATTCTCTGGAGAAAACGACAACCTCAGCGCAGCGACATCGAACAAGAACCTATAGTTGACCTGCTGAGCCGCGCCCAGTATGTTTAGACCATCACTCTGGTCCATTGACAATATGGTCATGCAAAACTCATTGTGATGTTCAAAGGCCTGGAAGAGTGTGGGTTTATGCAGCACAAAGTCAGCACCTTCGAAATGAAGTGTCACTGATGGTGAAGTAAAGACAGTAGGGATATTCTGGTAGCAAAGATCAAAACCAGTCTTGCTTTTCTGCGTCATGGGTTGCCATCCATACATGTTATTGAAGTAATCCACCACAGCTTGTTTCAAGACCTTGAATGCCTCTGCCACGATATGGCTATATGGAAATCCTGAATCAACTGCCATTCCTTTTCCACCTGCCATGAACAAACTTGGATCGATTTGGAGACGTTGTCCATTCAAACTTATCGCATCCAGTTTCGTGAAATAATAGTCATCTGGACCGCCCAAAATCGGTGTGCTACGAACACTAGGACCTCCAATTTGTGCATCCTCACCAAAATGTAGCAATGATTGGGCCTCAAATTGTGATGGAAGGCAATACGAAAATCTTTGAAGGGTGATTTGGTTTAGTTGTTGTAGAATACCAGTGGGGTGACCCCTGCCTAACCCCAAAATCCCTCCTATTGGATTATCATGACCATGAAAATAGTCATTGAAGTTCACCTTATTGAAGAGTCCCCACCCAAATGCCACATTAGGGATAGCTAGTTGCCCTTGCTTAGATAAAAATGTGAACGTATCAAATCCAAAGGGGCCGTAAGTGGAACTGCGATCATAGTAGAACAACCCATAAACACAATTCTGGCCTTTAGTACCAGGACCAAGGTTTGGAGGAACACAAAGTGGGTGATCATCAGGCATGGGCCGGGACGTGGTTGATCTCCTGATGTTGAAGTTAGGCATTGACAATTCGAAGCACGACTTGCATCCTTCGCATTGAACCCACGTTAGAGTGCTACCAGTGTCCAAGGCCAAGTTGGCTTTCTGATGAGGTGTGCCAATGTACATCTCTGTGTAATAGAAATCACTGTATGCATGTTTAACAGGTGAACTTATGGCGTTTGGGACTAAGGTTTCTGATGAGTTGGTGGTCATGATAAGGTCGAGGGCTCGAGCTTTGGATATTTCGGTCAGTTTTTGGTGTTTTTCAGAAAGGGTGAGGTTTTTGGGGAAGATGGAAGAGTTTGGTGAAAGAATAGTGAACATCTTAATGCTCAATCCTTGGGCTACGCCTCCCATGAGAAAGACCATGAGAACAAAAAAGAAAACTGGAATGATTTTAGACATGTTTTTCAGGCTCATGTTTGAATTTTGATCCAGCCTCACAAGAAATAGAATATTTATAAGGTGTGATTTGCATACCATAAGGTGAATGCAATTGATGAAATATTAGTCATGCCAATGCCATCTTGGAATATGTCAACAAATTTTGAAGAGGTTTTCCATTTGGATCCACCACAAATTTGTGCGTTTTATCCATGAGTTTTCTGTCATTGAAATTTTCATAAAGACAATCGTTCTTCTTTGAGATAACTTGCAGCATCTCCTATACTATAAACAGAGACGGATCCCTTTAGAGATTGGAAGATAGTGCTTGTCAATTTTCAATCACACAGATGAAGGTGGTTGAACTAGGAAGTTTCTGAAGTGACTATTTATGTATATACACTACAGCTAGGCTAGCTATGATACACAACCGAACGACTCATCTCTATTTTCTTTGGATGATTTTCTAATTAATTACGTGGAACTTCAAAGGGTCTTTTAATTTATAGATGGGCTGCAAAACAAACATGTACACACAAACAAAACCAAGTATTTTGAACTTACTTGGGGGTGTATACTATAAATTATAGGTTATATACTTAAATGGTCTTACATAAAAGGAAAAATTTCAGAAAAGGGTTTTTAGGAGCTATTGCCTGACCATGATTAATATTTAGACCATGCCACGCTAGCTGCAAGTTGCAACAGGGCATGTGAGCGCTGCCGAGAGCTGCTGACAGATGCAGAGAGTTTCAATGCTGCATTTTGTCGAGCACCTGGTGTGCAAGCATGGGTCGCCCACCAGCCTTCCACAGGATCGCCGGAGGAGCTTCCCAGCCGTTTTTCTGGCCTCCACGGAGTTGCCCGACCCCATTTGTCCCTTAATGAATCCACCACTTCAGTATGAAACTTACATTGTTGACTCATTAGCCTTATGACAAATTTAATGATAGAAGTTTAACATGGTATATTGGAAATAAGGTACCAGATATCTCTAGTACTGATGATCAAACTTCACCAATTTGAAGGTTGAATTCTTTCTGAAATCTTTTTTATTCTGATGTTCTAAAATAGAAAAAATAAATAAATAAAATAAATGGGTGCAGGGTTCTATGCCCTCCTCTTCGACCCCATTTGTCCCTTAATGAATCCACCACTTCAGTATGAAACTTACATTGTTGACTCATTAGCCTTATGACAAATTTAATGATAGAAGTTTAACATGGTATATTGGAAATAAGGTACCAGATATCTCTAGTACTGATGATCAAACTTCACCAATTTGAAGGTTGAATTCTTTTTGAAATCTTTTTTATTCTGATGTTCTAAAATAGAAATAAAATAAAATAAAATAAATGGGTGCAGGGTTCTATGCCCTCCTCTTCAATAAAAATTCAAAGGACAAAAAATGGTGTGTATTTCATTTGGCAGTCACCTAATTAGTGGTCACATTCTTTTCCTTTCAATTACAAATAGGTCAATTATTTTGTAATCCTTTATTTTGTTTGGAAAATATTTATTTTGTAATTAGTGGTCACATTCTTTTCCTTTCATTTGGCAGTTACTATTTATTTTGATGGAGTTTGATGGGCACAATATATGAACCATTTCATGATCCTAGAGAGTAGAGGTAAGCTAGTACTTATTCCAATCTTCCACAATTTTCCTGACCAAAAGACAATCTCCTCGCACCAACATCATACAAGAACCTGTAATTAACCTGCCGAGCCGCACCTACAAGGTTTGGACCATTATTGTCCCCCCGTGACAATATCATCATGCAAAACTCATTTTTACTTTCAGGGTGTTGGAAGAGTGTGGGTCTATGCACTTCGAGGTCTCCTCCTTCGAAGTGAAGCGTCACACATGGGACCGTAAACACTGTAGAGGTGCTCTGGTAGCAGAGGTCGAACTCATCACTCTTAACCTTTCGGAATTGGTTGCCATCCGTACATGTTGTGAAAGTAGTCCACCACTTGTTGGCTCAAGACATTGAATTAATGCATCATCCACAATAAGAGTGTCGGAGATCCTGAATCAACTATATGATCCCACTTCCACCTCTCGAGAACAAGTTCAGGTCGATTTGGGGACGTTGTCCATTGAAACTTTTAGCGTTTAATCTCACATAATAATGGTCATTTGGACCGCCCAAAATTGGTGTGGTACACATTGGACCGCCCAAAATGTAACAAGGATGGCTGGGACTCAAATTGTGGTGGAAGGCAGTAGGAGAATCTTTGAAGGGTGATTTGGTTTAGTTGTAGAATATTGGTGGGAGGGGTGACTCCTCCCTAACCCCATAGACCCTGATATTGGATTAGGCTGGCCATGGTAACGGTCATTGAAGTTTACATGGTTGTCAAGTCCTAACCCATATGCCACATTTGGGATCGCTTGTTGCCCTTGCTCAGATAAGAAAGTAAATTTCTCAAGTCCAAATAGACCCTCAGTCAGTGGTAGAGCCATCAGCATACTCCAAGAAATAGGAACAAGCCCCGTGGCTGGAAGAACACAGAGTGGGTTATTAGCAAGCATGGCTCGGCATGTGGTCGATTGCTTGCCGTTGAAGTTAGGTATTGACACCGGAAAACATGTTTGGCATTCTTTCCCTTGAACCCATGTGATAGAGATACCGCGGTGTCGATGTGCAAATTGGCTTTCTGAGGAGATGTGCCACTGTAGATCTGTGTGTAAAAGAAATCACTGAATGCATGTCCAACAGGAGATCTAATAGTGTTTGGGACTAGTGGTTCTGATGAATTAGTGGACATGGTGGCTTGAAGGTGAAGGGCTCGAGCTTTGGATATTTGGGTAAGTGTTTGGTATTTTTCAGCAAGGGTGAGGTTTGGTGAAAGTATGGGGAACATCTTAATGCTGAAACCTTGTGCTAGCTGTGCCTCCCATGGTTGCAGCAGACATGAAAAGGGCTACTAGAACAAAACAGAAAACTTGAAGATTATGAGACATGTTTTTCATTAGGCTTTGATGATCTGTTGTGCACAGATGTGATTTTAAGCATGGACTCAGAAGAGAGTATTGATATAGTGCAAGGTGTGATTATTTCTGCAATAGTTTTTTTTTTTTTTTTTTTTCATTCTCTCTTCATAAATTTAAATAGTGGTGTTAGGTGTAACCATTTGTGCAATTGGCTCATCATTTGTACTAGTTACATTCAAATAAAATTTAGGGTTATGAATAATTTAGTACATTTCTTTTCTTCTCACAAGGAGGTATTATAGTGATACAAATACAAGCCTATGTAGGAAGTAATTACAATAAGGAAAAAGGAAATAAATACAATCCCAGTCAAACCGATATTCCTATAATTACTATTAATTATAATAAAGGAAATTGTATATAATTCCTATTGTGATTTAGTGATTCACGTCAACACTCCCCCTCAAGATGGTGCATAGATGTCGTAGATGCCCAGCTTGACAAGTGAATCTGTAAAGGCTTGATTTGATACGGCCTTGGTCAACATATCCACCAATTGTTCAATAGTCTTAACTTACGGAACTTCAATGATCTTCTCTTCCAATTTCTCATAATAAAGTTCCGATCAATCTCTACATGTTTCTTTCTATCATGTTGAACATGATTTTTAGCAATCTTAATTGTTGACTGATTATCACAATACAACTTCATAGTATCCTCAGTAGGAAACCCATCTCCCCCATAAGCCTTTTCAACCATAGCAATTCACAAATACCTTTCACCATAGCCCGATACTCGGCTTCTGCACTCGACAAAGAGACAAACTTTTGCTTTTTACTCCTCCAAGTGACCAAGTTACCTCCTACAAACATTAAATAACCAGATGTCAATCTCCTCTTCTCCCCCTTTCCTGCCCCATCAAAGTCTGTATACGCCACAATCTTTACATGCCCATGCTTTAAGAACATCAGACCTTTTCTTGGAGCACACTTCAAATACCTCAAAATTCGGACTACGACATCCATATGCCGCACACTTGGATTATGCATGAACCTACTTACAAAACTCACTAAATATGCAATATCATGTCTAATGTGAGACAAATAAATCAAACGACCAACCAACCTTTGATATCGTCCTTTATCAGTTGGAACTTGATCTGGATATTCTTCCAAATCATGATTTTGTTCTATAGGGGTACCAATCGGTTCACACACAAGCATACTTGTTTCCTTTAGCATATCAAGAACATATTTTCTTTGTAATAAGAAAATTCCCTGTTCAAAACAAGTTACCTCAATACCCAAAAAATATTTTAATCCACCAAGATCCTTCATATCGAACTCAGAGGCTAAATAGCCTTTTAGTGCCAATTTCATCAAGATCATCACCAGTCACAATCATATCTTCTACATAAATAATAAGAGCTGTTAACTTACTATTCTTCCTTTTAAGAAAATAAAGTATGATAAACATTGCTTCGCTCATAACCATATTTTTTCATGGCAAGACAGAATCTCCCAAACCAAGCTCTTGGAGATTGCTTCAATTCATACAGTGCTTTCTTCAATTTGCACACAACACTGGCATCATTAAGAGCATTATAACCTGGTGGCAATGACATGTAGACTTCTTCTTGTAAGTCTCCATGTAAAAAGGCATTTTTTACATCATATTGCTGCAATGGCCAGTTAAAGTTTGTAGCTAAAGATAATAGAACTCGAATGGTATTGATCTTAGCCACCAGTGCAAATGTTTCTTGATAATCAATAACATAAGTTTGGGTAAAACCTCGAGCCACAAGTCTGGCTTTATACCTATCAATAGAACCATCTGGTTTGTGTTTTATGGTATAAACGCATCTGCAACCAACTGGTTTCTTCCCTTCTGGCAGTTGCACCAATTCCCATGTTTGATTTTCACACCCAAAAATATTCCCTCTCTTCTTTTTGCTCTGTCCTTTGTGAGAGATGGAGGGTCTGAGAAGTGAGAGAGAGGTGGTGTTTGTGAGCGGTGTTTCTAAAGTTTGCAACAACCTCATCAACCCTAACCCATCCCCACACGAGATCCACCCCCAACCC